CTTCCTCAGGACTCGGTGATAAAGATACTTGACACATTGTACCGTGACCGAACCTATCCAAGGTTCTTTGTTCTTGAAACAATTGCTAGAGTGCCTTATTTTGGTAAGTGTATCTGTTTGTAGTTTCAGTTCTTCTTATATTCTTGCAAAGAAACGTATAGTGTAGTATTAAGAGTTAGTCACTAGATTTGTATTCTTCATAAGAGTTCGAGATTGTGAAAGTCACTCTTCCTTGTATCATTAGAAACATATTCAAAAGGGCAATCCAATCATAATCCTATCTGTGAAATATAGGATTTGTGGAGGATTACATCTCATTTTTTTCATGTTTATCAATAGTTATGGATCTGAATGCCAAGTGGGAGTTTTTCATAGACTAGAATATAATGTTAGTTTCTGTGTGTTGCTTGCAGCCTTTATGTCTGTGTTACATATGTATGAGACCTTTGGTTGGTGGAGGAGAGCAGATTATTTGAAAGTTCATTTTGCCGAGAGCTGGAATGAGATGCATCACTTGCTCATAATGGAAGTAAGAATCAAGTTTTGTCCCTTCTCTACGAGTTTTTTACTCTTAACTCACATGGTTGGTAAAAGTAAAACGCGTGTTTCTGATCACAGGAATTGGGTGGGAATTCATGGTGGTTTGATCGTTTTCTGGCCCAGCACATAGCAACCTTTTATTACTTCATGACGGTGTTCTTGTATATCGTAAGCCCGAGAATGGCATGTAAGTTTTCATTTCGCTTTAAAACTATAAATCTTCTAGAAAGTCACATAATCAATTGATGCAACAGAGAAAAGCCGACTTCAGTCTTCATGACTTCATCAAGCATTGTTTTTTTTTGTTACCGATGCAGATCACTTTTCGGAATGTGTGGAGAGCCATGCATATGAGACTTATGATAAATTTCTCAAGTCTAGTGGAGGTTGGTTTAGCATTTCCAATACTGATTTCATTCATCTTTCTCCGACATTTTGCATTTATATTTAGTTAGTTGTTAAGGATTTATTGAGTTGAATATCACCAAAATCCTTCAATAATTTTTACATTCTGGATTGTTTTTGTTTTTTTTTTCCCCATAATCAGACGAGTTGAAGAAGTCGCCTGCACCAGATATCGCAGTAAAATACTATACCGGAAGCGACTTATACTTATTTGGTAAGTTTTTTTTCTTTTGGGTTTTATCAATGTTCTCCAGCTCCAGAGTCTCTCAAAAACTGGATCTGTGTTGTTTGCAGATGAATTCCAAACATCCAGAGCTCCCAATACTCGAAGGCCCGTAATAGGTAGCTATTAACTTTCAATCTCTGAATCCATTGAACCACAGATTGCTAAAAAGGTTTATGATTTACATCCATGGTTGCGAGTCGGCATTCTATAAAGAACTGACATTACTATCAGTTTGTGACTACTTACTTTGGTGTCGATTTCAGAATCTGTAACGATATTTTTGTTTGTGTGATTGTGTCGGGCAGAGAATTTATACGATGTGTTTGTGAACATAAGAGACGATGAAGCGGAACATTGCAAGACAATGAGAGCTTGTCAGACTCTGGGCAGTCTCCGTTCTCCACACTCCATTTTAGAAGAAGATGACGATTGTAATGAAGAATCAGGCTGTATTGTTCCTGAAGAAGCTCATTGTGAAGGTATCGTAGACTGCATCAAGAAATCCATTACGAATTAAACTAATTACTATTAGAAAGGAAGACAAAAAGAAATTAATTAGAAAACTTTATGGTTTTATTATTATATACTTAGGAATAAAGAGAAACCGTGAAATTCCCATTCTTATGTATGTCATGTGGGAGAGATTCAAATACCAAATGATGTAAAATTATTTTAATTGATA